AGAAAGCAATTCCCCTCTGAATTTTAGTGACTTGAAATACTGTTCTTATAACTTGTATAATAGAAAGCTATTAACGGTGAAATATTTTTCTTTATGAAGTTCAGCATATGTGCAGGGTATTGTACTGTTTTGGTTAATGCTGCTCATTAAGTTGCTTCAGTATAGTTTGTGTCAAGCCATTGATTTTAAGCATTCATCTGCCTTACTTCTTTGAAAGTTTATAGCTGTAATAAACAGGTATTTTTGTGTTAATAATTTTATACTTCAAAGACTTTTTCTGAATTAAAGTCCTTGGGATATGAACAGTTTAGTGCAAACTAGTCCTTACCTGTAGGCCTGATCTGCAACCATTTACTACTGATTACAAAAGTCTGCGAGATCGGGCCCCTCAGGCCACAATCCTGTGATCAGATCCATGCAGGCAGATCATTCTGCCCCTGCAGAGTCCCAGTGACAATGCAATTGCAGGATCAGGGCCTATGGTAGTAGCGGTTTGTCTCGTCCTCTCTCTACGAATAGTACAATAAAGCCCATTGACATAACTAAAACTAATTTTCTGTTAAGATTTGCATAATAAAGGCTTGTCTTCCATGGTATGTAGACATACCTGCGTTAAAAACATTCATTTCAGGCTGAAAGTTCTTGTTGAATATTCATGTTGCAGTAGCAGCTAGAAGATACTTCCCACCTATCTAGGTCATGGGCGTTCTACCATAACCACCCTGCCCGTCAAATATTGTTAGATAGGGATGAGGGTTTGGTTGATAGGTTCCGTTATGGAAAAGTTTGCAAACCCCTAATCTAGGAATTTATATTGCCCCTGTCACTTCAGCACACAAGTGTCTCCACCATAATATCTGACCCCCATTGTACAAACATCTCCAAAGACCTGCTCTCTGCCCTGACGACTTTAGATTCTAAGAAATTGGAATAAAATACTCTAGTCCCAGGGTGTCTTGTCTTTTTTATTACAAATGTTGAGCTTGGTCTGGCCATTTTTAAGTTGGAGTAGGACCAACCATTGAGTTTACCCAACTGTTTTCCATTATTGCAACTCAAAGCTATTAGCTGTGTATTTTACAGCATTTTGCACGGAGTAGCCCAGCAGGCAAGCTAATCAGATTGTTTTGGAGAGGACAGGTTAACTGGCTTTAAGCACCAGTTAGTTACATGGACACAAGGAAGTTGGGGATGCTGTGTGTAAGACTCCTCTCTTATCACTCTTCATGTCATAAGCTATTGTCTCAAGTGGGGCAATGCCTTTTGGGCATACGCTGTCCATTAGGGTTTGTGTGTCAGCTTTTAAAATAGCTGTACTTTTCCTTTTGATGGCCAATAATGGAAATAACCTGAGTTGAGTGTTGTTTTGGGAACTGAATTTCCCTTGATTGGTGCACGGAAGGTGAAATCCTGACCCTGCTGACAAAACTCTCATTCACTGGGGCCAGGATTCCACCCGGAGTTCCTAGTGCTGTCAGTGGGTGTCTCTTGTGCATATTGAGGACATTAATCTGTCCCTTAGGTCCTACATTATGATTTACTCTCTGAGGCAGTGGCTGACGTTAATATGTCACAGGTTGAAAACCACCATCACAGTATTTTTATTGGCAGTGTCAGCAGATGCTAAGGTTTGAATTCGTGTCGGGATTAAACTACCTGCTCATCTCTGGAGACGAGAAATGTTAGCGCAATGCTGAGAAACTTACAATGCCACCGCCCTTATTTTTACCTGTTCTAAATAGAGGAGTTCATTGTCCAGTCCCATCTATCTATCACCATTATACTAGTGCTGCCCGCAACAAAAATAACAAAAATGGTTGGGGGTCTGAGGTTCTTGGTTGAATACAAAGAAGTCCTTTCCACCCCTCCAGTGACCAGCAGCCTTACAAGATAAAGAAGTAGAGGGTATGTGGAGGGCAGTGAGGAAACTCTGTAAGAGTTGGTTCATCTGTTTTGCGATGTTAACCTTTGCTGCTAGCAGTGTGCTCTGCCAGCTTGAAGTGGTTCTTCCTTTGACCTTGCTGAATCAAGCATTGGATCAGGAAGGGGGGAAGGAATTCAGTACCATAGAGTCTCTTTTGGTGATCCTTTATATTGTTGACCTGGCTGAAAATTGTTCTGTGGGTTGGACAAGTTTAAGGGTATTTAATGTGGACAATCAAGAAAACAAAACAAAAACTAAAAACAACCATCACTACTGCCACAACACCCCCCACAAGCCCCATTGAATAACAATAACAAATTCTGATGACAGATCACTCAGACTAAATTTTAATTTCTTATTTCTCTAATTTATGGTAATTATGTTTTTTTTCAATGCTAAGTTATGTTATGGAAAACTTTTCATTTTAAAACCTGTGATTATAGTTAAAGTGACTACAAAAGTGTCATTGTGCTTCTCTTTCATTTGTGTTATTTATATGTCAAAAGATATTTTTTTCTGAGTGTCAGCCCTGAAGATTCAACCTGGAATGTGAAACTCAAGCTGTGTACTTTCTGCCTTTTACTTCTTCCTGAGCAATAGATTCTGCGGTCAGAACTTAAGTGGCAATTCAACTGAAGATACTCAAGGAAGAATGCTGTCTAATATAGTATTCCCTATAGTATCTGTTTTGGCTATTCAGTGCTAAGAGCTGTAGAAACTTGCTTTTTTTCAGAAAGTAAATGTGGTTAGAAGATGCATGTAGCAGACACTCAAACAGAAGAGCTGGTTTTGTATAATCGCTATTATTGCGAAAAGAAAAGAATTTCTAAACTCGTATTTCACTTGTATTTGCTTTTAAAGTACTTATATTTTATTATTGAAATACATAACGTAGTTAAAATAAGCGTGAGCACTTTTGAGTGGCTTCCATTTTTACTAATCATTGGGAAAAGAATATAAACTTTTTTGTAAAAAGAAGCACTGAAGAGAAAGGTGGTGATTAAAAGAATGATGGTCCAAATATTTTAATTGAGGAGAGAAGCTCATTGTCTGCTGTTAATATATTCAGGCCTTCAGCTTGCATCTGTTAGAATTAGGGAACTTACACATGATACACTCCTCTGGACCTTTGGGTCATTAGCGACCAATGTCAGAAAGGAAGATACTGCAGTTATGTGGTGGCAAAAGTTTTGGCTTTGAAGCCTTTAGGTTCCACTCTCTCTCCTTATTTCCCCAGCCCTTCCTGGCTCTATGGAGGTGAGTTGCAGGTGCATGCCCTTGCTCCTTTGTGGTTGAAAGGAAAAACGAAAGAGGTAAATAGGAGAGAAAAGGCTAATAAATCTAGGGAGGTAGGCAAGGAACATTTCTTATAGAGAGCCACTTAAACGCACATCTCCTGGGTCTGTCTGTTCTGTCTGTGCTACTTTGCATTCATTAGTCATAGAGTTTCAGGCCAGAAGGAACCATCAGATCATCTAGTTTGGCCTGCTGTATATCACAGGCCTCTAAACACCACCCAGCCACCCCTGTACCCAGACCAACAACCAGAATTAAACCAAGTGTTAGAGCCCTGAGGAGACTAAACTATTGTGTGCCACAAGGGGAGAACAGGAGGGACCGAGGTGCATCGATGGCAGGGAATTTGTCAAGTGTGATGCTCTAAAGTCTATCTCCAGCAGTCTTGCTCTCCCAAGTCTGTCTCTAGCTGATTGGCTGGGAAGCTGTTCGGTGCTCATCCCTTTTGAAAATCAAGTCTTCATTGCCTCCCATAAAATCCCTGTGGGGTTTGCTTCGGTATCACTTATTTCAAAGTATTGCTGATACATTGGACACTAATGCTTAGTGACTCAGATGGGAATCCTTACCCTGGTCTTTGCTATCCTGTGTTTCTAACCACGTGTATACTGAGGCATGTTTTGAACTAAGAATCATATCCATCCTAGAAGCTGCTAAGCATGTTAAGGCTTGTTTCAGCTTTTGGAAAAATCAAATCTATTCTAAATGAGGAATTATGAACTTTAGAATAGAAAGTAAAAGCTGTTTTTGTTTTTATTGCAGTAAAAGCTAGGGACCCCAATCAAAGGTCAAGGCCCTATTGTGCTTGGTGCTGTTCAGATAAGGGGAAAAAAGGACAGTATCCTGCTCCACCCTTCACAATCTAGGATAAGCGTCTAACATTTGGGTTTAACAGCCACTGCCTAAGTCTTATTCCATAAACTAGAATAAAGTTTTAGATTTTTTTGTCTACCTGGAAATGGGGAGTTGTTTAATCTCATGTAGGTTTTAACACAGCATTGAAGTTTCTTCCAAGGAAGGACCTATTGCTTATAAAATGAGAATAAATTGGTAAATAAATATGATGGGAAATTTGTCTCAGTCTTTGTTTTACATTCAGAAGTGTATAGCACAGGGTTATCTTATGGCTTGAATTCTCAGAAAAGATTCCATAGTGGTTTAGAAGGCTATTTCTTTGGAGGGAGAAAGAAATGAGAATTTTAGAAAGATCCAGCCAAGAGTACGTAGAGACACTGTTTAGCAGTGTTGCTGGATCACAGCCTCCTGCTCTTACAACTTTTTCAACCCCATTGGGTTGCGGGGAGGTTCGTTGAGGAGTAGGCGCTACCTTTGGTTTGTTTAGTTTCTGTAATGTTCCCCCTTATCATTCCTCTTCCACTCTGACTGCCACATCACTTGAGTTTTTGGGGAAGAAAGCAAAATCAGGGAGTCCTCAGGGCCGAAACCTTTGCCAGGTGTTTCTACCCATTGTCCATGTGATGACATCCACTGAGTCAGTGCTTCCAGATGGGTCTATCAGAATTGCACAGTCAAAGTTCATAGAGAAGAGTTCAACTTTGTTTAGTACCATGTCTGTGTGTCTGTCAAAGGACTCCTGCAATTGTATTACATTATTGGTGGTAGAATACCTTAATGATTAATTACTGTGAGTACTAAGAGAATTGCATTTTATCTGTTAAGGATTTTAAATTGCTGTTCCACTGTAAAAAGTAATTATGTAAAATGGCACCTTTCTGTTGTTGTTGTTATCATTTATTGTATTTTGTATTATAATAGTGTCTAGAGGCTCCAAACAGGTCCCCATGGTGCTGGGTGCTCCTACACACATAGCAGCTGACTACTGAAGATCCTGATCGTGCATAGATCTCACAGTGGGCAGACCCTCTTGCCCCTGTGTGGAACTCCATTGACATCAATAGAGCTCTGCAAGGGTGTACCCACATGGACCTCATTGCAGGACTGGGACCCAAATGGGCAAGACAGACAAAAGGTGTGAGAAAACTCCTTTTCTGCTGAACAGATCAGTTCTCTGTGTGTATCAGGTCATGTCTGCCTACTTCAGTGACAAAAATCAGTTTTTCTAGACTCTTTCTAGTGCATTATCAACGGGATCGTTTACAAAGCAATAGTCAGTTACACTTGTGCAAACCACTTGAAATCAGTGGAATTACACAGGTGTTACCTGGTGCATAGTCTGAAGAGAGTGCAGTTACCTAGGTGTCCCTGAAAGCAGAATTTGGCCTGCAGAACCTGAACTTGCCCAAGAAGGGAACTCATATCGAGTTTGCATGGATGGCAACTAGAAACAGAGCACACCTGATATGGAAACCCATAGTGCCATGTTTAAGGAGTTATTTTTCAGAGTCGGAACCTCACCTTAAAATTGCTTTCACTACTTTGGTGATTTAGGTAAGGATGCAGTAGTTAGTCTTGTAGGTGTGATGGCATTTGCCCTAAAATACATATATATCTTCCCTTGAGATTCAACTATTGTGCACAGGGGACTTTTCTACATATTCAGAATAGATATTTTCTTCCTAGTTTGTAAGAGACAAGTAAAAAAATAGTTACCACAGTGACTGGGCTGGGCACTGTTCCACAGTAGTACAGACCTGGGTGTATATATGAGAATTTTATAGAAAGACATAACTGTCAGCATCAGATAAACAGTTCAGATAGCTTGTGCTGCACCTCCTGGCTACGTGAGATAGACTCAGCCAATCAAAGGACCCGAACAAACATCGTATGCAACAAACTGTGTGGCCAGTTCCAACCAACCCATCTTGAAATCTACACTGAATTTTCTGTGGCCAGGAAGACAATAAGTAAATGTGTCCACATTCATCTACTTATTTTCTAGTTAGTATGGATTCACCTTTCTTTTTCTTCAAGAACATCTTTGAGCTGCGTGGGAACATATTTAGAAGTGTCTTGCACATAGGAAGTTCAGCAGCTACTATTGCTGTTTCCCATCACTAAAATGGTTATAGTGATACTGACCTTCCTTCATGAAGTGCTGTGAGATCTAGATAAAAAGTGCTATATCAGAGCTGAGCGTTATAATATTTTAAACCTGTAATTTTCAAAAGGGCCAGTGTCAAGCCTCCATCTCCATGGACTTTCACTGGGATTTGGGTGCCTGACTCCCTCAGGCCTCTCACAGTCTCAGCCTAATGTGATAAAACGTTCCTGCACTGCAGAGGTGGTGAAATGCAGTTCCAAAATGCCTGTGGAAGGAGCCAGGTTGAGCGTGCATCCACTCTAAGGAGGCGTGATTGCTATGCCCACATTCGTCAGTTGTGACAGGGTGACCTTGCACAATAGGGTCATGAATGGGTGAGTGCATTTAGCTAGTCGTCAGGGTTATTTCAGGACTTTGTGATTTCCGTTCCCGTTAGCTTCTACAGCCCAGAAAGAGCCTGCTTACGGGCTCTGCATCTCTCTTCCCGAGGCATGTATAACCCTCCAAAGTCACGATCTGAGTTTAGTTTAAAAAACCACTGTCAAGGTGGGATTTTGAAATCTTATTTTTATGTTCTAGATCAGAGATTCTCAACCAGGGCTATGCGTACCCTAGGGGTACACAGAGATCTTCTGGGGGATACATCAACTCATCTGGATATTTGACTAGTTTTGCAACAGGATACATAAAAAGCACTAGCGAAGTCAGTACAAACTAACATTTCATACAGACAATGACTTGTTTATATTGCTCTGTATATTACACACTGAAATGTAAGTGCAATATTTATATTCCCATTTATTTTATTATTATGTGGTCAAAATGAGAAAGTCAGCAATTTTTCAGTAATAGTGTGCGGTGACACTTGTATTTTTATGTCTGATTTTTTAGGCAAGTGGTTTCTAAGTCAGGTGAAACTTGGGGGTACACAGGACAAATCAGAAAGGGATACAGTAGTCTGGAAAGGTTCAGAGCCACTGTTTTAGAATATCCCCTTTGAAGCTTGAGGCCCAAATCTGTAGTGCTGAGGTTGTAAGCATGGCCCATGACTGGGGCTCTGCTGTGCAGCTGTGATACTCACAATAAAAGTGTTACTAGGTTGGCCCTTAAATGATTTTGAGTATTAAACAAAAAAAGCCCTGCATTTGGCACTTACAGTAAATACTTTGCATGGATTAGGTAGCATGTAAAATCTTCAGGAGCGCAAATACTATCAGTGAAGTTTGATCTAATTGTCAGGAGCCCAGCACAATGCCAGAAGGATTATGCAAGCTTCAGCCTTGTGCCAGTGTTTCTCAGTCCTGGGGTGTAAAACAACCTGCTGCCATTCCTGTTCTCTGCCTCTCTCAGTGGCCATGCCAGGTTGCATGGTAATGTTGTGATGGGGATATTGGGTCAGATCAAATTCACATTCCCCTGTGAGCTAAGCAAGGATTTGAATTCAGTTTGCATTGTCCCTTTGAGCCAGCTCTCTCCTCTTCCCACAAAATGTTACCAGTTGTTCCGATTGCAAACATTTCAAGCCTGATCCACTGAAAGCAGCGGGAGAGCTCCTGTTGATTGCAGTGGTTCAGGATCAAGGCCTTGTTGTACTATCCCTGCAAATCAAAATTATGGTAGTGTCTGATTTTGTTTCCCTACCAATTTCAGGAATCAATTTACTGGATAAGTTCATGGAAGTATCTTCTCTCAGGGAGGGGAGATCCTCCCTTCGGGAGCACATTTTATGATTAAATCTATTTTGGGACAAAATCTGGATTTTTTTCAAGTTTGTTTAACTGTGGAGTCTTGAGGTCTGGGGGAGAAGGAGGCAATTGTTAAATGAAACAAACAGATCTGGACTTTTCTGTGTTTCGATTTTGGATTCCATGCTGAAGAAAGGAGCTGTGAGGGCCCTTATTTATTTAAAACCCAATAAAAGAGTTACACAGTAAGTCAAAGCAACAACAGTGCTTCTCTTTCCCCCCCTCCAACCAATCAGCAGTGAGTAGATGATAATACCAAGCTCTTACGGCACATTTTATCCATGGGGCTGAAAGCACTTTACACAGGAGGTGACTATTGTTATCCCCATTTTTCTGATGGGGAAACTGAGGCACAGGTGGGGTGGGGTGATGTGACTTGCCCAAGGTCAGCCACCAAAACCAGTGGCAGAGTCAAGAATAGAGCCCAGGTCTCCTGAGTCCCTGTGCAGCGCTCTAGTCACTAGACCACACTGCCTCCCATCTTTTATTGGTCCATTGTGGCTTAAAGCTTCCACCCCAACTGTCTGAGCCTGCTCAAATCCTTTGGCTTTGCAGCGTTCGCTAAGGTTAATGGGTTTGGGCTGCTTCAGACCAGGGGAGGGAGAGCATCTCAGAGGAAAGAAGCCTGTGTAGAGAATGTTCTGCCAGCTGCTCCCTCTCTTTTATATCAGTGAGGGAACGGAGAGGGGGTGTCCCCCCACTCATCTCAATGTTACTATTTTAAAATAAATATTTAGGAAGCAAACATTGCGTCGATGCATTTCGCAGTCATTAACAAGCGAAACAATTGAGGTTGAATAACCAATGACTTGATTCAAGCCATGTCAGTATCAGAGGCTACAGTAGACCTTTAACAACAATGTACAGCTTGGTGAAATCTCTTTCTTTTGTTAACTTATCAAATGTTCCAAGTCCCCATCTCAAGGGACATGCAGAGAGTTTAAAAAACAAAATATAAGTGGGAGTGGCAGAGAGATGACAATCCCCCAAATAAACTAACAGCCGTCCTCTCTGACAGAATCCTGAGCAACGAGATGAGCATTACACTATGCTCTGAAAGGCAATAAACTCTGGCTTAGTCACACCAGCTCGGAAAGTGAATTTCTGGGACAAGAGTCTTCTCCTGAGAATGCCCTGCTGCTACCCCGTAAATCTTAGGGACTGTTAGCTTGAGTGCGTCACCCGACAACACTTTCATGATGACTCAGTGAGAGGCCAGGTCTCCCAGATAGCCAAATTCTGAATAGTTCAGGATTTTATAGATCAAATTAAATAACAAACTGGCCCAGGAATGGAGAGGAAGCCAGGGTACTTGTTGAAGAATTGACGGAATATGTTTCTTGGGGCTAAATACCATCTAATGGGCCTTCTGCAACAGCTGTAGTATCCAAGTGGTCTCGGAATGTAGCTTCATGGGAAGTGCATGCAGTAATCCAGTCTGGAAGTCAGAAAGGCAGTGGTTACTGTCGTGGGATCTTGGTTTGACAGAAAAGGTTGCAAACGTCCAAATGCTGGGTGCTTCATGTGTTTGTGTTTGCTTCCTCATTGCGATTCACACTTGTTTCCTCTCTTTCCTGGCCACACTCCCAGCTCCAAAATACACTTTTCCTTCTTAGCGCCCTCAGTGTTTCATTTCCCACCCCCGCCCTACGAAACTAAAAGCTCCCCCATAGGAAAGCGTTACAATACCCACTGTCATGAATATCTATAATCCATTTTTTATCCAGCGTCTTGATGAATTTAAGACTGCACTGTCGCTCAAAAATCTTTCAGCTAAGAGTATCTGGTTGAAAGCATGACTCTCTGGCTTGGTGTGCCATGATCCACTATGTCATCTCTCATCAAGGTTTCCAAACTGACTCGAATACTAGAAGTTACCCTCTGTGCTTGAAAGAACTATTGTGTGTGGCATGCTGGCCATTGGTCATTGAGGGAAGTGCATTCACTATCTTGCATAGTGTACAGTATGGTTAATAACTGGCCTTCCTAAGTGAAATCTTGTGCAAGGAAATTATTATAAGCGACATATTAACCATATAATGTTTTGGAAGGGTGCTGGATGCCAGTCATAATTTCTGCTGCTACAGTATGTTTAAAGAAAAGGACAATGAAGTAGGCTCTTTTTGTTGGAAAAGAAGATTTCATGTTATCTGTGTTTGCAGGCTTTCTGGCTCATATGCTGGAGGAATCCTTGCTGCGGGGGTGTTTTCATTTTCTCGTCTAACATGGCAGTGGTCCATCACAGCAGAGGTTTTTAGCTTAAACAATCTGTTTGTGGGGCTGCTGATGATGCTTACTGTACATTTTGAGGAGGCAGCCACTGCGAAGGAGAGATCAAAGGTAACCTGTTTGGATCAAAGTGAATACTGATTTTAAATGTATTTGTTGTGTGTGTGGCTTGTTTGTTTTTAATAATTTTGGTTGGTTTAAAAATTAAGGGCCAGATCTTCAAAAGTGCTAAGCGTTTATTGTTCTGAATGGGAGGACTGGGTGCTGAGCACTTCTGAGACTCTGGCCACACTAGGTAGGTGCCAAGCTCCTAAAAATACGGCCGCTTACTAAGGGTCTAAGTTGGCATCATTGAGTGCTGTTCAGGAGGTGGGGTGGAAAATTATGATGAAAGAAAAAAATGGCTTTCATTGAAATTTTCTGCAGAAAAGTGCAACTTTTTGTCAAAACGCTGAAAAGTTTTTGGTTTTCAGGCTCTTATTTTTCAGTTAAAAGACTGTATTTTGGATGGAGACCAGGAACTAACCACAAAAATCCTTGTTTAGTTGAAAACCCAAAGTTCTATTGAAAGTCTGGATGGGAAATTTTGATCAGCCCTAGAGCTTTGAAAATCTCGCCCATAAATTTCACATTACATACTTCATAAAAATGGCACATTCAAGCAATTTTTAAAAATGGATAGTGTTTCTCTCCACTCTCCCTAAGCATGGGGACATCATATCTATTCTTCTTTATAAGCTCTCTTTTTATGACCACTGTAAATTCTCTGAAGACAATATTTTTTTAATAAAAGTAGCCCAGAATTTTTGAAGTTCAGACTAATTCTGTGCTGCTGTAATGGGTCTTCAAACCATACCTGTTCTCTGGTTCGCGACAGATGAGGGCTTTTTTATTTGGCATTAAACATCACGAAGAGCAATTGTTTTATTGGTTACTACCATTTCTGGATCGCTGACTGCTAAATTCCTCAATGATGTCATTTGACATTTTCAGAGCCGCCGAACGCAGTGGTTCTCAAACTTTTTTTCCCTGCGGACCACTTGAAAATTGCTGAGGGTCTCAGCGGACCACTTAATGATCTTTCCAAATGTTGTTTGTACCGTTAGCTAACTATTGTAAAGTGCTTTGGATAAAAATGCAAAATAAAAAAAGTTAATAATAATGAACGTTTTTTGTTCTACGAATAAAAGCACACAACTCCTATTTTAATATCAGTAGTTTCTTACCTTTCTAATGCAATGGATGTGCCCTTTCAAAAGTGACTAATGGTTTTGGTGGCCTCAACTTTTGGGGTATCCTACTATGTACACCGGAAAGGGGGTTAGTATTTAGAAGGCAGGTGCTCAGCACTTCCTGGGACTTAGGCCCACCCATTTGACACCTCCAGCTCATCACCCAAAATCACTAGTGACTTCTGAAAAATGTGGTCTGGGTGTCCAAACCTGTTAAGCAGGTTTGAAAATGTCAGATGTATTAGTATTGCAATGATGAAAAAAAAATCCTTTGTTAATGGTGGAAATCATATTCAAAGGAAAATGCCAGACTATTGACAGAAACTCACATCTGTGCTGATATTATTTCATCACTCAGTGAAAGCAAACATTCGCATTGCGCATCTCTTCCATTTTAATGGACTATCAAAGAAAGCCATGCCATGGTTCCATTTTCAATGTTAAAAGTGCCTGAGTAGCAAGAGACGACAGTGCCTGACCCGTCAGAGGAGTGCGGAAGGGCAGATGATATAGGGCAGATCCTCATCTGGTAAATTGTTGTCGCACCATTAACTTCAGTGAATCTCTGACGGTTTTCACCAGCTGAGGATGCACCCCACTGAATAGAAGTAGGCTGGTGGTAGGCATATATTGCAGACAAAACGTAAGACAAAAAGACCAAAGGTGATGAGTAGACAATAAATTCAAATAACGGGAATGTTTATGGTTCATGGGGCAAAAATTAAAGGTGGTGACCCAATGCTCATATGAGGCTGCTGCTGAAACTCTCAAGTGTTTTGCCATTGATTTTAGTGGGGCATGTTTGGGGGCATGCAGAACACGTGATGTTCTGGCATGGGAGAAGGTCTTCTATCAGCAGGAGCTTGGGGTAGCCACGTAACAAAGTCGTGTAGTCGTAAGCAACCCCACTAAAATCTTGGGTCTAAGCTGTATGTGTTGGATGTGCTATTTTTTTTTATAGAAAAACTATTTTAGAAATGTTTTAATGCATTTTATTGGTACTGTCTTGAATTCTCTTAGCTCATGAAGCAAAGATGCTTAAATTTAAACTCTGATGCCAGCTGTGCACGCCTGAGAGGGAGAGAAAAAAATCATCACCAATAAATCTTTAAAACCACTGAAACAACCTAAAGTAGTTTCTCTGTCTGTAGTAAAATCATGATTTTAGAATCTGATTGCTGGGGAATATTCAGTACTATGAGCGATCTCCCTTTTCCAGCAGTGTAAAGTTCCCTTTCTAGCCCTCATGGGTTGTGAGATATTGGACCCCACACCTGTCACGAGTGCAGGACTGAATATTATTTATGCTGCGCCTCAGACCAATGTAATTTTAGGGGAAACTGCACGTTTGGGGGAAAGAAGGCAGGTTGTTAGAAGCTGCTGAGAGATTGGGGATGGTAGAAGCACTCCCAGTAGACAGTGGGTAGGTAAGGTGATCAGAGGTCCATGATACATGCAGTTAACCACATGGATCTGCAGCTTATCACTCTGGCTCTGCAATTTATCATATAGATATTACCATCATGTACATGGTATGACATAAATACTACCACCACATATCTGCGTATGCTGTCTACCTATATAGATATCAAGATATAACCATTGTAAAAAAACGGAGTCTGAAATAGTTCTTATAGATTTCCAGTAAAATAATTAGCTTACCTCTATCTAGACATACGTGATATTTTCTTTGTAAATATTTATTGAACATTACACACAAGGTAGCTGCCTTTCCATTGTAAGAATACCCCGCATAGCATTGATGCAGTTTCACTGTGTGTATATTTTGCAGATTTTTCAGAATAATTGTAAGTACTTTCTTCCTTGCAGATATCGAAAGTTGGTGCCTTTTGCTGTGGGCTTAGTTTGTGCAATCAGCACACCATAGTGCTTTATGTGTTGTGCATTGTACTATGGGTTCTGTTCCAACTTTTCAAAGGGAAGGTAGGTAACTTGTCTATTGCTGAGTTGAATATTAAAGAGTGTCGTTTTTCTAGTATACTCAAAGGGCAGATGGTAATTCTTCCGACACTGATTTTATATTGAAGTATGTGTGTATGGATGGCAACAGTTCATGATTAGCCTAAGCTAGTCAATCATGATCCACTGACAACGTAAAGTCACAATCCATCTGGCTGGCATCCCAGCCGAGGATTATGTCTTTGAAGGATTTTGAAGCTGTCAGTCACATGAGCATTCTCAGAGCCGTCCATTTCTATTGTAAACTCTTTGGGACAGGGACCCTGTCTTCTGACCATCTACAATGTAGCTAGAGCATTGTTAGTACTGTGATGAGCAGAGTGGTGGAAGTTCCGAGTGTGTGGAATTATGAGCATATTCTGTGTGTAAAATGACCTTCCTCAGACAGAAGAGTAGATAAAATTGATGGTGACTGTACTCCCTTGAGATCAGAGAAGTGTAGGAGCAGTCTGGCCCTCACAACTCAGAGCTCCTGGTGGCTGACGGTGGCATGGAAATCCTTTTAACCCACAGGACTAGTCTCCATGTACTGACTTTCTCCTGGTATTCACATCTCAGTATTGCACAACCTCTCTGCATACATATGGCATGGCTGGAGTCAGACAGCACAGCAGTAAAATGGCTCCAGTCATTCCTCTCCAAAAGAACTCAACTTCAACATCTGTCTGAAACTGGTTGGAGAGGGGGATGAGATGCCATAGGCTCTGCTGTGAACAATACATCAGCAACACCATACTGCATATCTCATTTTCCACAAATGCAAACAGCACCATCTCAAGGATGCCACAAGGTCTGCAAAAGATCAGCTTTCAGATGAAAAGCATCTGGCTCAAACTCAACCTGGGCAAGACCAAAGTGATGCTTGTCTTAAAAACTAGTTGAAACACTGTCCTCTCCTTCCGTCAAAGTCCCCTGTTTGCCAAAGTTGTATAAAATCTCACGATTCTGTTAGACTCATGGTTAAGTATCGCTAATCAGGTAACATCAGTGGTGTTTTCCCACCTCCGGCTTGCTAGGAAACTTTGCACATTCCTCCTTGGTGAGGATCCAGCCAGAGATCAAACATTTCTCACTTCCAAACTAGATTGCTATAAATCATTGCCTCTGCCTGGATATGGATGGAATGCAGATGCTTCAGTTTGCACAAAATGTGGTGACCCACTTCAATAATAATAATTAATAATGCCCAGCTCCTACATAGCGCTTTTCGTCAGTAGGTCTCAAAGCACAATAAGAGGCAGATGTTGTGAGCACATCACTGCTGTGGCTTCAATCCTTCCACTGGCTCCCAGTTTGCTTCCATTGCCAGTTGAAGATCTTGATCCTGACCTTCAAAGCTGTCAACTGGTCAGGTCCTGACTGCATCAGTATCCATGACCCAATAAAACAGCTGTTCTTCTCTGGGACAAGGCAGCGTACTGAGCCCAGGGTGAAATGTATGGGATCTGGGGATAAGATGTTCTGGCTCCATGGGGCTATTTTCTAGAGGAATGATACAGAACCTGACTATATTCAGCACGTTTTGTGAAGTCCTTTTTGCCAAAATGTTTCCACCATAACTGGCATGATGACCATTTAATTTTATAATCAACATAATTCCCTAAGCAAAGCCTTTTTTTAAACCAGAGGTGGGTGAAGAATAGAAAGCTCCATGAATTCCAGTAGGGAGCTTGCCATGCAGATTCAATGTACCTCGGAAATGCTTTAGATATCCTGGTGTTCCGGGCGACAGAAAACCCTATAATTGACAAGTTATTTGATATAGTAAAATGTCTTCCGAGATTGCTCCACCTCAGTCTTAAGGAACTTTAGCCACCAACTTTTAAACTACATTTCAGTATGTGGAAGGTTGTTTTAAACACTGTCTCTCCCAAATAAACTCAAATATGAAAGGAAGTATTTTTGTTTGACTAAAATGTAATAAATGACCCCCCCCCAAAAAAAGCAGTGTGAAATATTCAAGAGTGGGATTTTCAGAAGTGCTTAAAGAAATTAGGAGCAGCAGTCCATTTGAAAGTCTTGCATGCCTAACTCCCTTAGGCGTTTTCAAAATCCCACCCCTGAAGTTGAGTGACCCAGTTTAGCCGGTGTGATCATGATAAAGTAAATGGCAGAACGGACTCCTGATGATGATGTAAGCGGTTACATGGGAACAGCTTTTTTTTTTTTGCCAGATGGAATACCAGCCAACTCTTAATCACTGGAAAGTGGGTTATCTCAGCCTTGCAGTGCTTCAGCCATCTATGCATGTCATGACATGATTTAAATGTAAAAGATGCAATGCATATGATACTCATGAGTCCTAGCTAATATTATTTGCTTCACTTAAATTTCACCCTGCCATGCAAAGGAGATCAGTTTGATGCAGTTTCCTAGTAATCCACAAAATTGTAAGGTTTAACATAGCATTTTGTAGGGACTTACTATAAATTGAGAGATCAACTCTGTGTAAATATATTTGATGTTTTTCTTTATCTGTTCTTGAAGTTCCAGTGTGATTAAACTAAAATAAACATTGTTGTGCAATATGACACATTTTGGTGCAGGAATTGTCCTTTGGCCATTTGATGAAATTGGGCTTATGCTTCTTGGCTGGTTTGCTGCCTTATCTCTATCTGCCTGCATCGTCCTACCTAAATCAAGCACGTTGGACCTGGGGAGACCAGACGACTTTTCAAGGATTTTTGACCCACTTTCTCAGGGAAGAATATGGGACATTCAGTCTGGTAAATAGGGTCATTTTCTAAAAGAGAAAAGTCTTCTTGAAGTTATGCAACAGCAATGCCTTTGCATTCATTTAGGTCAGTGTCCTGTAGGAGAATTGATGTAAAATGTTCACCTTCTAGCACTTTATTCCTGAGCTTGTTTCTTGGGATCGCTAAGGTGGCTTGGAGAGTAGAAAAATAATTTAATCTACCTTCATGCTATTCGGGATACAGTTATTTATTGGAAAGTGTACAAGTACATTCAGTTGCAGTCCTGTTATCAGTGTGTATTGGCATGAAGAATAAACAATAGTTAAGAAAGGTTGAAAAGTAAATTTTAAATGACCCTGTCTTAAGTCAAATTACACAGCTTCAGTTGTGTTGGTTTTTAATTGTAAAACTTGGGGGAAATTTCAGCTGTTTAAAAAGTGTCACAAGCAGTTTTCATTCATTCATTTTATTTATAAAAGAATGTACTTCTAATGTATTTCTTAGTATAAATGTTACATAAAATGAAAGGAGTTTTTTGGTTCTTGACCTCTCCCCCAGTCTGAAACATTTTGACTGTGCCCCTCTTCCTGCAAATACAGGAGTTAGTTCATACTTGTCCATGGAGCTTTGGGGCTTGGCCAGGCCCCTTTCATCCTTGCATCAGGTTCTCTGCCTCTGGCAGCAAGAAGAGAGCGGTTGGTTATCATCCCTGCATTCATGCCTCCTTCACAAAAGTAAATAGAGAAGAGTGGGAAACTAATGTCTCATTTGGCAAACTCCATAGGGTCCCAGAACCCAAAGATTCTGTGTAGAAAAGTCCAATGTGCACAGTAGCTTCATCACAGCTTTTTGGTACAAGCTCCATCCTTGCTATAAAGAATACCACTACAACCTTACCGAAGGGCAGTGTAGGTGCAGTGTTTCTGGCAAAGGCTGTAATGCTTGATGAATGTAGTTTATTCACCAGAGATCTTGCAGGTAGGAAGATAGAAGCTACCTTCAGAAGGGACTTGGAGGCTTCTTCAGCTTTCCCTCAGATCTACTCTGTCAACAACCATCTTCTGAAAATCAGGCCCCTTTAAGCCATCTCAAGTTGGACACCCAGGAATTGAGCCCCGGTCAGCTTACCCCATGGCCTGCTCCTACACCACGGGTTACCTGCATCTGGCAGCTTAGCCTAGCCAAGATAGAATCCTCACCCAGGGTGATACATACTCTGGAAGCCTCCTTCAGGCCTCCCACCCCTTCATAGATGGCAAGAGACTGAACAAGATCCTCTTATTTATGTCAAGTTAGGAATAGCTGCCTTCATCCAGCAGGCCACAACAGTCAAGAACAAGGATATCAGAAAATTCTTGGATGTATCTATGTTTCCGAGAAGGGAACAGTACAACAGGCTGATGAATAAAACTATAATAGTTGTCTAGATTCTGAAACAAACCACGAGTGGGACATCTGTAACTTACTACTTGATACAGCAAGTACCAAATGGGAAGCCTGGTGTAAAACTGAACACAATGATGTGTTTTTAAAAAAAAATAAAACACATATTCCACAAAAAAAAGGAAAAAAACCCCCCAAAACAGTGTTCCAGCTCTTCTGGGTTTCTTATGTTTCTCACATGATGGCCTAGTTTTGAACTTAAGACCCTCCCACATCTCAGCTCTGCACAATATCAAAACCGCAGGCACATCCAAGTGTCTGGTAGTCACCTGCTTGTTCAAGGCTACTGAAGGATAACGTGTATCCAGCCAAAAAGTCAGGCTTATTTTCCTGACCTGGGGCCAGACCACAGTGTTATGAGTTCTAGATAACACTCCTTTTGAGCTGATAGCATCCTTTTTCCTGTGGTTTCTCTCTGTAAAGATGTGCTCGCTCGTCATAATCATGTTGACAAAAAGATTCTCTAGAACCTCTGCTCTTGGAAAGCATGATCCTTGCTTGATTCCATGATTCCGCAAGGGGTGAGGTCATTCTTCGGGCTCCAGTGTAATTTTTTTTACCAAGATAAACTCTTTCTTCCTTCATTTATCCCAAAGGCTCAACACTCAAACGAAAAAGCCTGGTAGATGAAAAAGGAGCTGCTACCATTTATCTAAGTAGAACTAGCCACTTCAGGAGAATGTCATCTTCATTCATTTTTTTTTTTCCGTTTCAGTGTATGGGTCTGAAAACATGTAAATCCTCCATAGCTGGGTGGATCAAATGCTGAATCAATACATATTCAGCTGCATAGAAATTAGTTCTAGAAAGAGATTTAACCCATTCAGCACATTTCCACTGCATCACCCGGAGCAGGAAGGCCATCATCCCCCACAGAGAAAACCAACAAAGCTACCATGCACTCAACCACTAACACCTTTTATAAAACACTAGAGGCTTGATGTCCAGTCTTCAGCAGCAGCATCCTCCAGCAGGAAATCGTTCCAAGCAGAGATGCCAAAATAAATACTGCTAATTGTAGGGAAGAGGAGAATCTTTTTCCTGTCCTATTTGTTTCTTCTTCTGTTAGCTTTTCCTCACTGCTCACGACATCCTGAATATCTCATATTAGGAGGGTGGGGATTGGGGTCTAGAATGGAAAGTCTGTTAGGTGGTTATTTCCTTTTTGGGACTGTTCTCTCCCCGACTGTACGTACGTAGGCGAGGTAGTTTCTGTTGGTACATCTGCACCTCTTCTCAGGTCCATGTATGTAGTTAATACAATTGAGTAAAGTGCTTTTGTGAAGAGTTTACTCTTCTCTGCTGCTAAGAATCCCGGACTTCTGTGCAGCTTTGTACGGGGTGGCAGGAGGGAAGAAGGGGCATGGCCAAGCCCTCAGCACACGTGGACAAACACAAGCTGCTGCCAGTATTCAGGAAGAGAAGTGCAGCCCAAATATCTCAAATTGGGGGAGGTGTAAGTCCCAGAAAATAGATCATTTAGTAACAAATTTCCCATTTGAGCTGATATTTTTACTGTCTGTGAATGGCTTCTGTGTATTTTAAGACATGGGACAACACCCACGTACGACACAGACTGTCAGGACAGTCACAAAGCAGACCTAGGATGCAGTTAAGATTCTGCTAAGGTGTATAATATGTTTCTGAAAGGGTGGAAGAAACAGTAATGTTGTAGTATTTGAAATGAAGAAAGTTCTTATTGCATGCATGAAATACAGTACAATTTATAACTGGATGTCAAAAGGAATGTAAACTGCTGGAAGATTATATCACAGCAAAACTTCCACTAGAGTTTTGTCTTCAAAAATATAAGATCATCACTATTATTTGTATTATGGTCATGCCCAGAGGCTCCAGTTGGGGCCCCATTGTACTAAGCACTCTGCACCTACACAGTGAAAACACAGGCAGCATTGCAAACAGTGTACAGTCTAAGCATATGTTTTTTCTAACCTTTGTGTCTAGGCCAAATCAGAGACAGGATCCACTATGAGAGAGATGTTGCTGTGAGTAAAAACTTTAACGCACCCCGAAGTTGTGGGGTCATCCCTGTTCCCTCAATTATTCTTTGTAATAATTATTCCTTTCCTGAAGTGCTGAGTTTATGGACTTCATAGTTTGGGCAGGGGATGTCTAGAAAGCATGTGGCCATGTTGGCATGTGTGTCTAGGCCCAGCTTTGGCCCTGGGATGATGCACATGACAGCTGTTGACATTAATTCTCTACTAAATAAAAATACCAAAGGAAGAGGGTGGATGCCTACTCTGTGGGATGCTGGTATTTTTTCCTGCTGCCGAGCAGACGTGGTATATGCTGTGTAAGTCAGAAAGTGCTGTTCCAGAGCAGGAAGGGCTAAATTCCGTTTGCTTCACGCAGTCCAAGTATCTAGGCTGGGTGCTGGAGTGCCCTGCAAAGGGAGTAATTTTACCACCAGCCTCTGCAATGGCAGGAGAGCTATTTCTCTGGCAGCTACTTCAGCTTGAGGGCTCCAGTAACCTGTGGTTGCTGCACCCACCCATCCCAGGTAAGAAGAGCTCATCGCTACAATGCGCAAATCACGATTCCGCCACTCACTAGTCGCCATCATCAAGAGCAGGGCAGCTAGTTGAGAGCTAGAGCAGGCTTAGCCCAGAGTAGCTTTGGTGTCAGCCAGCCATAAGGAACTGAGCTTTGTTCTGATTTGCCTTCCTCTGTAGTGAGGAGATGGTGGTGCGAGAGGTTAAAGGCACTCTTCTGCATTTTTGAGACGCACCCAGACAAATGGATGGGCACTGCGCTGTATAATGAAATGAATCAGAGAAGGGCAGGAAACGACAGTGTTTCTCCTTTTCTCTCTGTCCCCCGATGGTGGGATGCGTCAACTGAAATGATGTTCGTTCCACTTTTTGAAATACAAAACATCTTGGTTGCAATTTCATACAGCTGTATCACAGCGCAACAGGAATCCATGACACTGTGCTTATGCTGTATTGTCACCGATATTTTGTGCCAACTGTGATTTGGGGGGATGAAATAACCATTGATTTCTCCATAGTTCGCAGGTAACACACATGAAAACAGAACTTTCCTTTACTGTCCCAGCCCTTGCGATTGTGGCGTGGCTACGTACAGGAATGCAGTAAGTCAGAGTGAATATGCTCTATTCTGTCTTTGGTTATCAGCTGAATGATAGTTTAGAGTAACATTTTTCAGCACTGTGCCAGTACCGACCATTTTTAATTACAGTGCCCACTTTCAGAGAATCTGCTGCTGCTGTGCCTTAATTAGACAAACTTTACTTGTTGCTGATGACCTAGTGATTCTTCTAAATTAAACTTAGTGTTTAATGTGTAGCTCTGGAATCCTTCCATTGGTGGTGCACTTTGAAAAGAGAGAACTTTTATCTTTAGTAATAAAAGAGAATCATAGGACTGGAAGGGATCTCGAGAGGTCATCTAGTCCAGTCCCCTGCACTCATGGCAGGACTGAGTTTATCTAGAGGCCAATTCATTGTCTTAAATATACATATATTGCTTTTTCAAGATAAGTATTACTTTTCTGTTCTCCTTTTAATCATTTTCAGTGGAATACTATGTTGTTTCTTTTAGGGCTAAGCAGGAGAAGTCTTCAATGATATGCCTATTTACTGGAATGCTCTGCATTTATTCGTTATTCTTTGCTTGGAGGGCAAATTTGGATATTACAAAACCACTTTTTATGGGTGTGGTAAGTTTTGTGTTATATTAATTTTATAAAGAGGCACCTATCATGTTCAGTGGGCTACCCTTATCTATCTTTATTTCACCAGAGGGTGCAGGTCTAGACAGTGCCACATAAAACTTAGTAAGAAATACAAATAAGTAGTGTACTTTCTTATAAAATGTGTGAAATATGAAGAGGTTGTTGTCTAGAAATGTATGTTTGAAGCGGGGTGACCTGTATTTAAATAAAAAGTCCCTGTTTGTTGTTCCTCTTCCTTAATCTCTGTCTGCCCTTTATCTGTGAGCACCTCCAAGCAGAGACTATCCTGTCTGGGAACTTGGAAAGTGCTGTGAGCTCTGCCACATACAAGTAAATAATAACGACATGCCTGTCAGCTGGGTCCATTCTCGCTGTGTTTTGAGCCGTAGGTGGAACGATTTTGGATGCAGAGCAATGCAGTGATTGCTGTTCTAGCGGGACTAGGACTGGCCTCTCTTGTCTCCGTCGGAAATACAGGGCTTGAGAACAACCGTGTGCTGCAGTGCGTGGAGTGGCTTTCCGCCGCTGCTCTTGTTACTAGTCAAATTTATGCCAATTACAGGTAACAAATACCCCAGAAATACTTCTTGACGGGACCTCGTGGCCCTGTTACCGCATGCGTCTCGGATTTGTAGTGGCCCTAACCATACTGCTCAATTCTCAAATGCTTATCAAACTTTAAAAGGCCAATTTTTGGCAATGGGGTGGAGGAATTGGGGTGATTCCTTGGATGGACTCAGAGGGCGTACAAAGGCAGTAAAAGGCCTGGGGGCTGTTTTCTTTGCTGGCTTTGGGGAAGGAAGGTCGCAGATCAAAGGCCACATCCAGAGATGGGTTTGGAGACAGTGCTGTCCAGGGCCTTTTTGGCAGTGTCTTGAAGACCTTCTGACATGCAAGTGCTGTTTTGCCTCCTACTCATCCTAGAGAAGCACCATTCTGTCCTGCAGGCCCTCTCCCCAGCACCCAAGTCCCTGGAGCCACCACCCAAAGTGGCCTCAGGTTATTTCCATAATCGGGTTTTGTTGATGCCATCTTTCTGAACCATGCAAGGGAGTGCCGTCCAACTGTGTTGGTATCACCCTTTCCATCCTTCTGCACTGCCCCTCTGTCCTATGCTTTGATCTCCCTTTATGGCAAGAAAACAAATCCCCTGCTTCTAGTGTTCCAACCTGACTGCTGAAGCCATCTGGAATATAATCTGCTCCATCGCCTGCCCTTACTCCTTCTCTGGGACCAGAGGTGGCACTCTGGACCAGGGAGCTGGGGCTCCTGGAGCGTCAGAAGGAAAACATGGAGGCGAATTAAATTGTTTTCAAACAAAGCAATACATTTGCATTTTATTTCAATAAGAGGGTTACGCATTTCAGTTGGCCAGAACAGCCACCTAGACCTTCCGCTGCTCTACTCTGGCTTTCCACATGCCTTGCCTGCCTCTCTGGGTACTTTTGGGGAGTTAAGGTCTCCCCAGAGCCCTGTTCTATGGCCAAGCCAAAGATTCTCCAGCTTGGGTATGAACTAATTTCTGGTGGCTGCATGCTGAAGGAGAAAGGTTGCAAGAGCCAGAAGCAGTGAAGTGTGGGAAGTGGAGAATTCATGAGTTCCTTCCCCATAGGCAGCTCCTCAACTTACTACTGGCCTCCGAGGCATCTCGGCCTGTGCTCTAAAGTCATTCAACAGCCTATCCCAGAGCCTGTGACTGTGTGGGGTCTATGCAGTTTGGAAAACCACAGACATTTTGAGTTGGAGCTACCTATTAATGTTTGTTTGTTTTAAAATGAACCACCTCCTCAGCTGGTGTAAATCTGCCCCTCTCCGGCTGACTTTATATTCCCATGCTGAGATTCTCAATACACTGAGGTATTTTTTAAAGCGAGAAAAATGGTTTTTAATTGACACTATCAGACATTTCATTGTACTGGCACTTGCAGCTAAAACTAATAAACGCTGGTATGGGTTATATGGTTATGTGACCTTGATCAAGTCACTTCAACTTTTGTGTCTCATTTTCCCCATCTGTAAAATGGGGATTGTGATAGTCATAAAAGGCTTTGAGATCTATGGGTGAAAAATACTATTGAATAGCTAGCCGGTATCATTTATATTTCTGACTGCCTATCAAATAAAATTGTTTAAAGCCCCCATCAATGTCTATTCTAAGATGTTTATATTTTGATCTCTTCTGTTAAGCATTTGTGACCAAAGCCGCAATTACGTTGTCGATAAATTTGCAAGGAACCTTTTGTCCTCCATGCCACCTGATGCAATAATCTTGCTCAGAGGAGACCTACCAGGGAATTCTCTTCGTTACCTTCATTATTGTGAGGGAATGAGGCCTGATGTCACATTAGTGGATCAGGAGGTAGGTAAATACATAGGAGGCAATCCAAAACTTTGTCATAGAAAACAAATGCAGGTTCAGCTTTTCACTTTTTCCTTATGTTTCATTTTTCTGATTTATAACGTTGTTTTATAAATAGTCTCCTGCCGTTCAGGGTCTAGTTGAAGTTTCCAAGTTCTGAGACTTGAAGCGACTGGGCTTGACTCAGAAGACGTGTTCAAACCATGAGGGCCCATTTTCTCTGTTGCAAGGTTGTGCCTCCAGCACTCCTCCAGAGTGGCACGAAGTTTCGCTTGAACTTTATCGCTCGTGCTTTTGGCTTAGAGTGGAGCATGTATGCCAACAAGAGGGTACCACAATAGCCAGTGGGTGTGAGGAAGAAGTGAAGAAGAATATGGCAAATCTGTAAATGTAAAAGAAAAGTGTTTTTTCACCTGTCAATATGGAGATACCGGTAACAGTGTGTGTGTTTATGCAATGGCCCATGAGGTTTCCACATGGTTAGCCATGTGACTTTAATTTAATTAAAAAGATACATTTTCTCAAGGTAACAAGCCCTCCAGTGTGAGGTTTCCCCTTGGGACTAGCTGCAAGTAACTTTCAAACACTGATCAGGGGTTGCACAGTTTGTAGAGGAATGACAGAAAGGCCCCCAAAGAAAGTAGCCACAATCCACGACCATGGGTCACTTACTTTTGTGACAAGAGTTTGGGGCTATTCTGATGAGGCAGGTGAAGTGCTCAATGAGATGTTCTCAAATGCAGATTCTTGAGAGCAGCCATGGCAATTGGCCCTCTCACAGAGGGGTTCTGACCCAGCACCCGCAATGGAGCTCTGCCATTGAATGGGAAGCTTCATCATTTATTGCAAAAGATTGCTTCCTCCTTTCCCCGACGCTTGTGCCCAATCTGTCTTCCCTGGTGTGAGATTGTACCTCTTGCCGCATGCCTCTTTTGCCATTCCTGCCCCCTCCAGCCCCCCTTCTTCCACCTACCAGTTTCCCGGGAGGAGAGCTCTCAGAAGGACATCATCATACCCCTTCCTTGAAGAAGAGGAAGAGCTCAGTCAGAGGCAGATGCAGTGATGGGACACTGATCAGTGCTTCTACCTCCGGTGCTCTCTTCTCAGCACCACAGACAACAGGAGGTGGAGGGGGAATAGGCTGCTCAAGTAATCGATAACTGAAAATATTTGGATGTCACTTACAGCCAATATTTGTGCTGTTTGGGAAGTTAGTGGACCTGAAGCCTCTTGTGACTGGCCAGCAAAGAGAGAGACTCCCGTGGGTGCAGAAAGGCACCTGGAAAATGTTAAAAGGAGGAGCAAGTCTGTCAGCTGTCCCCACAAGGCATTGCAAGAAGGGAGCAGGTCCCTGGCCCCCACCCCAAGCAAGATGCTGACCATAGTATGCCAGTGATGGGGTTTGGCATTTTGTACAATGTTGCGGCTCTTTTCCTGCACTCTGTGTCCTTTTGCTGTCTTGTGAGTGAGATTTTCCAGGCTCCTAGTTGTACAGTTTTTATACCGCTGCCTTAACGAGTCCTTTTATGATTATATCTATGGTATGTTTGCAGGGTTTATTTCATTCCCCTTGTAGCCCTAGAAGCAGGAAAGAATTATTTAACATGGAAAAGGAGATCGCTTATTTCACTTTGTCACAAATGAGCACTGAAACCTTGAATGTGTAAAATGATCTATTTTGCAAGGTTTTTTGATTTGCCTGCAAAACCAAAACACGCTGCCTAATGTTTAACCAAACTTTAGCCTCTTTGCACATCTCTAGTCAGTGGATACATTTACACATGCAGAGAGGTTTTTCTAGACTCTCTTGAGCCAAATTTTTTTTTTTAATCTGTGCAAACTTACATTTTTTTGTGTATGTGCGGGTGGGGAATTTTGTCTTAAAGTTTAGATCATTTTAATATTTTCTTTATCTTTTGTGGTAGATGATGACTTATGAGTGGTATTTACCAAAGATGTCTAAGCATTTGCCAGGCATCTCTTTTCCTGGGAGGCGGTGGAATCCTGTGGAAGGCATATTACCCGACGGAGCGCTCACGTTTAATCTCCATCATTTTCTCAAAGTAAATAAACAGTAAGCATTTCTTTCCTAAAACCTTTAAGCTTTTTTCCTAAAATTGTTTACATAGCAGCAGCTATTACGTTCCAAAAGACCACTTCTCTACACTGACTTCCCCCACTGATTTAATTGAATGTCTAGGCCGAAGTAACACTGTCCAGCTATAAACTTTATTGTTCAGGAGGAAAAATAAAAGGTGATTAATAAAGACTGCTCATAAGATCTTGGCACAATTCAGTTAAAAAAAAGCAAAGCTCCTACATACTTGAAATCACCACGGGTGGAGAGAAAACTGTTGTCGTTTCCCCTTCATGACACTGCAGCCATCTTAGTAGTATAGAATGAAGGTACTCCAGGAATAAACATTGTACAAAAATAGCCTAGTAAGAGCAAAGAAAGGATTAAACACTCACATGAATAAGAATAGCATCCACATTTTGACTAGCCAGGAGAAACATGGCAAGGGCTTCAAGGCATAAGACAATTATCAGGTGTGGTCAGGAAGAAATGTGTTTCCATTCCATGGTGTGATGGTTCCCAGTTGGCCATGTGCACTGGAGGGGTCTCCTTACCTCACTCTGAAGCATCCAGTATTAGCCATTCCAGAGGTGCAATATTGGATGGAACATTAGACTAATCCACAGAAACTCAAGTTAAATGGCCGTGATGGGCGTGTAACACAGCAGTGGTTTCGATATTCAAAGCCCAGCAAGTCAAATGCTGTGCACATTAGGTGTGCACCTAATGAATAAAGATTGTGACACACACACCTGGGTGACCGTTGTGTAAGGGTAGGCAATATAGTGCTGAATGTGCAATTGCCAGGTCTCCTAGCTGCAGTTCTCGAGGACAGAGCTGTGTGGTCTGGACACAGGACCGGGACCCGGAACTCCTGAGTTCTGATTTCAGTCCTGACAAAGGCTACGTCTGCAGTTCTGAGCAAGCCAGTTAATGCTGTTTCATAACACCAAAGTTCTAATAGTTTTGTTCTGCATTAATTGATAGGGATAGAAAGCCTTGCCTAAGATATTGGTCTGGCAATTTTCCCTTTTTTAATATTGTAAGTAAGTATTTTAACAGTTGACCTCTGGAAAAAAACTGTTTCTGCGTGTGTGTGTGTCTGCATCTGTGTGTTTTCAGGCTTAGATACTCTCCTTTCAGCCTGACTGGGTCAGCTGTAGAGCTCACAGACTGCAAGATAACTTCCAGTTTACTATCCGGTGCCCAGTGGGAGGGGTGCTAGAAATACCTTAATAGATTCAATGGAATGGAAGGAGGGGAGGTGGATTACGCAGCACTGGCAGGTACACCTACACGCAGCTGCATGGGGAGAAGGCGGAGTCATTGCCTACGCTTTGGCATAGAAAGGGTTACATTCACTCTGCCCTGGGCAGCCCCTTCCCTGAGTGCGCCCTCTGTTGCCGCAACCTCAGCAGACAGAGTGTGTGTGTGTGTGTGTGTTGGGCTCCCTTCTGCCCCACATCAGTTCTTCTAGGGGGGATGTTGTTCCTGTAGACTCCTCCCTCCTTCGTTAGCCCCCCAGGAACACCTGAGGAGGAGACAGACCAAGGTATTGCTCCACTGAGTGGAAGTCCTGCAGCTACTGCAGCCTGTCTCTCTATGTGCTAGTGTACACCTGCCCGACCCCCGCCTGGAAACTGAATAAGGAGCCCCCTCCACCAACACAAGCCAGGGGAACAGGGGTTCCCCCCTCCTCGCTCTCGCACACACCTGTTAGTCGAGTCCTGCCCATTTCAAGACTGTCAGGGAGACCCATCCCTGCAACTGATCACCCAGCCCACCACCGGCAGGGCCCGTTCTCCCACCTGCCCAGCCTGGAGGTCAGCAGATGACCTGTTTGTCACTGCGGCTGCCAACAGGAGCCTCAGGACAAAACCATCTGCCGCTGGCGCCATGGCTGCTGCAGATGCGAATGGCCGCCAGGCAGGGGAGCCATTATCTGCTGGGATGTTGCAACAGTCCCCCCTCCTTGTCAGTCCCAAGTAGCACATACTCACTGAAGTTCTTTCAGATCTTCAGATCTTCTCCCGGTTCATTGCCTGCGCCTTATCCCAGATGCCGTGCTTTGTACTGGGCGACGCTCGGGAGGAGCTGTTTTCCGCTGTAGTGGTGAGCAATGCAGTGAACGCTGGAAGCGTTTACAAATAACGGAGTCTCTCTGTTTGTTGACAGTAAGGAAGCATTTGCCTGCATAGGACTTAACGAAGGGGACTCAACTTGGAGAAGAAGCCATTCACTTTGGCCATGGGGTTCCTGTGACAAATTGGTTTCTTCAGGAACGGTTTTTAACCCAGGAGAGTGGATACATCTTACAAGGAACATCTATAACTGGACTGAAGACTATGGAAGGTATGAAGCGCGACTGTTTCAAATCTTATTTGTCTGTCTTGGCCTCGTAAATCATGAGGACTCTGTGCTGTGTCTTCCTGTTTAATTAGTCTTCTGCCACCAGCATAAACAGTGGGGGAGCTGTGTGCTGCAGTGTTAATTCTCGTAGCTGTTCACCTTCAGAGAGGCTCAAACACTGATGCTGTCACAAGTGAAAATTGGTGTAGAGGTGTCATCACAGTCTTCCTCCACCATGGTGAGTGTGGCACCACTCCCCAGGATGGATAGTGTCTGTAGGAGAGAGGCTTGGGAATGGGCTAGTGAGGATCTTTAGGACTGGTGGGGTATTTCATAACTGTAGATTTGTTGGCACGTCAAGTCGAAATTATGGGGCAGCCACACAGCTGGGTAGGGGCTCTTATAAAGAGCCATCTCACTCCTTTTCCGGTTGTAGTCAGTGCTGTGATCCCTTGTCTTCAAGAGCACAAAGGCCCCTAGTCACTAGAGCACTTAAATGCATGTCCTTAAGTCCATCTCTATTCAGTGGATCACTTAAGCACATGTTTGAATCCCAGTGAAGTCAATGGCATTTAAACATATGCTTAAGTGCTGTGCTGAATTGCAACTTCTGTTCCCCAATTTAATAATAAAATAATTGTGGTTTTTTTTAAAGTGTAAAATTATAATCTCCGTAGTTCCTGCTTATATTACTCTTTCATGCCCGCAGTGTTAAAAATATGAGACACAGGCCAGTTTGGTGACTCACTGGGCTCAGATCTTCTTTTCCCTGTTCACAGGGACCAAGAGTATTAAGGACATCACTTATCTAACTCCCAAAGCGTCACAAACAGAGCTACAAAGGGTGCTTATATCAGGCTGCCCAGGCTGAGAATAGTCAGGGCGCTGTGAGACGTGTAAAAGGAGCAGCAAGAGATTATATCTAGCGAGAAAAATAAGGTTTATCCAGGAGCAGGTTCATTCTGCATTCCTTGCTGCCGTGCCCTAGACTTCATGGCCCCGTTCCTTCTGCCTAGGTGAGGTATAATCTGAGAAGTTGGAGGGGAAGGGGTTTTGTCGTAGAGCGCAAGATGATCGTGCAGTGGGTGATATGCCTGGAGTCCAATGGATGAAACGCAGTGCTGTAGGCAGCGAGGTTGAATTTCACTTTAATTATTTTTTAGGTTTGATCCATCTTCCTGGGAAGCTGTAGCAAATGAAGAGATGTGGCAAGCCAGGTGAGGTTCCCTTCACTTCCCAGCAACCCATGGCTAATGGTTTCAATTTGTTGCCGTGAAACGCATGTCAAAGTGGGTGCTGTAATAACGGGTGTTGCTTTGCCGCGAAGTGAAGTATTTCCCCCTCAGAAAAAAATAAATGTCTAGAGGAAGACTTGCTTATAAGGAAAATTCCCTGCATCCTATGGATTGTACATCAGCTTGATGAAATGGTTAGAACTGAGTGAATTCTGTTGCGGGGTCCTGCAGAAATGTCGATTTTGCTGTAAATGTCTCGATGAAGGAGAGGATAGTTTGGAGATAGAGTGAGGAAATATATTTGTGTCAAATGTAATCCACAGCAGACTTTCAAGTGGAGGAGAGGTGGGCTTTCATATACAATTATAAGGGGATTTTGTGGATGCATCTTCCATAAGATAATATTGAAGGTTTTGCCTATTAATGTGAAGTGATCTAGTTGTATTTAAAAATTATTATAATTGTCGTGATGGAGTTTATTCTGTTTTCTAGGATGAAAACAGCCTTCTTTATTTTTGACCTTGCAGAAACTGCTAGCGTGTCTGCAGATATAAAATCCCAACTTTATACATTTGCATACAATGTAGGTAACTTTTTGTCACCTTTTTTTTTCCTTTTGTTGTTGTTGTCGGCGAGCTATCTCTAGTGCTGTGTTAGTGCCCAGGGCACATACACATAGCTAGATAGCATGAGTGCTGGATGTGTTCTTGTTCATCCAATCCAAGTATATAGCAAATTAAAAGGGGATTGTTCAGAGATTTTATCCATTCCTGTTTCCCGCTTTAAAGGCCTGCCCCCAAACAATTGCAGCAGCATGTCTGGATGGTCATTCAGTTAGCAAATAAAGGTGACGCTCAAAACATCTTCTCTCTAGCTAGCACCTTGTTTTGTCGCATTATGTACTCCTAACCCATGCCAATTGAGCACTGAAGTTCCCTGTGCACACTAGTCCCCATGTCTATGCACAGCTGTGCCAGCATATATAAAATTCTAAAATCTTCGTTCTGGAAATAAGTTGTGCTGTACTTCACACTACTAGAAATATTAGCTGTGACCTCATCAGTGGCTCATTGGTAGTACCTTATTGGTAACGGTATTAAGTGATGCACAGTCACAAAACTAATAATCTCCGTTGGTAGAGATGAGGAACGTCTTAACCCAAGAGATGAACTATGAATAGTTTTCTTTAAATTGTTCCCTGCTGTGTAACATTTTAGAGTTTGAGTCATCCCCTTGTCAGGCAGATTCCTAAGCATGTGCCTAACTTTGGAGCATGTGAATGGTCCCATTGAAGTCAATGGACTGCTTAAGTCCTGTTTAAGATGTCCTGACCTTCTGAACTATTGGTAAATGTCTTTCCATGCATTACAGCAGAATCTCTTTTCCATAGTGTAACAACTCTCTCAGGGAAGTATATTATGTCAGGGGATGGGGTTATATCATTCATTTGCAGCATTCTAAAAAAAACATAGCAGTTCTAGTAAATGACATATTTTTGCCACCCAATGATATTCCAACTCATACTTCTCTGCATTACTACTAGATTGATTTCACAGACATGCCATTCTAGATTGTGGCCACCAAAATGATGTTGATCTTGTCTGTTTTCTTAACACTGTAAAATTCTGAAAAAGCCACTAGAGAGAGAAATGTGTGTGCGCTTCATATTTTATTTATTTTTACAGTTGTACAAGGAAATCATCAATTCACACAAAAAACATCCAGTCAATTGGCATAAAAACTATGCAATAGCTTGCGAAAGGATGCTGCGTCTGCATAAGGTGGATGTGGACCCTGAAGTGTTGTTATCTGAAACTGTTAAACATTTCCTCCTCTATACGGCGAAAGCAGAGGATGATCCCCAACGAGCCGATATTTTGCAGGCTGTAAAACACCTGAAGAAAGAGCTGCAGGGGCTGAGAAAAATGAAAAAAGATCTGAAGCAGCTGGCTGTATAGAACCCGTTTGTGGACCTGCTTTCTGAAGTGTTAAAATTCTGAAGTCGGGAGGTAAAATTTAATCTGTTAGTTAACAACATGAGAAGGTTTTTTAAATACGACAGACATGATAGCAGAAGGAAATCAAGTGGCCTCCTGGATGGAAATGTAGCACTGTTCTTTCTTTTGGTTGTCGCCGGATGAAGAGTTCTGGTAGCCAGCGCGCCCTTCACATTGATTTGTGTAGAAAAAAATTTGTTACCAAATTAAGCACTGTGTTTAAAAAAAAAAAAAAAGTGAGGAAATCCAAAATACTGTGCGTGCAGATACGTCCATTGATTTTATTTGATATGTATAATTACTTCATAAATATATGAAATCCATTTCCTACTAAAAGTTCTTTCTGTTGTCGAGTTTCAGCTGTGTAAAATATCTCTATTTTGTTTATCTTTGTGCACAGTATTATACACTTCCATTAGAGAAAGAGTGCGTGTGGGTGTCTGGGATATAGGATCATTATTCATAGCGGGTGAAGCCATGATTGAGTTACACAAGTTATCCAGAAAGAGTGCTGGTAAAACCTTTACACCTCACTACTCTCTCACACATCCTGTAGATGTCACAGATGCTACAAAAAATAGTTTTAGGAATGTTTTAGAGCATTTTATCTGAACTATTTTTCGTCTTTCCTATGGAGCCAAGTGAGTTGGTTACCATGAATTGAACTGTGTCAGGCTCAAGGGACGAATAAAATTGTCTAAGAATGACCTAAAATAGCTGGTCTGTATTTTATTTTGTTACTGATATTTATTCCTTTTTATTTGGTCCTTCAAGGGCTAAAACTGAGTGCTGGGCCCCCACTGGCAAGGTAGGAATTTTACCTTCCCAGTGATTATAACGTTCCCGTTTCTAGCCTTGCAGGCCCTTGAGATATTTTTAGATTTAGAGAAGCTGTCGCTGGCCCACGACGGAATCTTGGTGGAGGTAATTTTTGGGGAGAAAGAGGAAACATTTATATGGCAGGTTGATATTTTTTTCTTCTTCTTTTCAATTACCACTGATCAAAGCTACTTTGAGGTTTGGAACCTTAGAAGAAGTGGAGATTGTATAGTGAGCAGAGTGCAGGAGAAATGGTCAAAGGTGCACCATATGTTTATCACATGGCTCTGCAATTTATTATATGGATTTCCGCCCCATATATATATATCTGTCTGTGCATATGTGATTCTGGACTGTTACTCCACTTACGAACTCTGATATTTCTCAGATATTCTTCATGTGTTGGTCTGTGTTTTTAAATGTAACAGATTCATTCCGTTCCATAAAGGCTTAAATGGACACTGAGTACTTAAAGATCACACTTCTGTCTGAAAGTTCTTACCCTCCAGTTGTTACGTTACAATATTAGAGAAAAATATTTTCCTCTCTTTCTTTCCATTTTGGTCACTGTGTACATTTGGCAGCACGTTTTGAATAGTCAGTTGCTCAATGTTTGAGGTGGGGGATTTGCAAACACTGAGAAGAATGGGAACATGTGGTTATAAAATCAGAAAAATTGCCAGCGTGACTCAGAGCTTGTCTACACGAAAACTTAGTTGTGAGCAAGTTGGGGTGCTAAATGCACTAAGTGCATGTACCAAGTGTCCGGGTGGACCCTGCTGCTGCGCACTAAAAATTTCCTTTGATCTGTGTTCCCTTTGTTCCGCATTGATCTACCTCACTTTGAAATGAGAGGTGGGAGCTTTTAGCATATGACAGACACTGAGTGCATGACGGGCTAGCATGGGGTGGATTTATACCTCAGCTTGCCGTGAGCTAAGGCTGCATGTAGAAGTCCTCAGGTGTGCTTTTAACTCATTGTTTTGCAATTGACTAGATTTCAGGTTGATAGTACCCTTCCATTTTGTCAATTACTGTATAAGTAAAGCATTCATATAAAACTACAGTATATCATACATCCCTACATACCAGCCTTTTAAAATAAGCATTCTTCTCCCTTCTCTTGATCCGTCCTTCAGCACAATGGATGACATTAGAAACTGTGGTTTTTTGACTGCTTTTGTTCCCTATATTATTCACAATCCATTCAGGCAAATATAGTTAGGCAATTTCTATCTTGATTTGATGCCCAGTCTTAGCTGTATAGCCCTGAAATAATTTGAAGCCTTTGTGGATTCTAATGCCTACTTGGGAAAAAGCAGAGCCACACAGACATTTAAACTGTGATCTGATTAAAATAAAGTGTCATCTCTATTTTAGTAAGTAGCAACGCAAACCAGAGAAGAATTCTCCCACAGATAAATACATTCCCTGGCTGGAAAATTATTGGAAATGTGGAGCTAGTAAACAGCTATTTTAAGGGGTTGGGAGGGAATTTCCCTGGATTATCTACTCCCAATACATGTGTGCATGCATATGTAGGTAGATAGAAATAGATAGTGTGTGTATCTAGAGCTGAAAAATATCACTGATGTCCGACTGTGAAGGTAAAACTTCGGAAGCAACAGAAGTTTCAAGATTCCGTTTAATAAAACCATTTGGATTAGGTCTGCTGGTACTTTTACCCAAAGCAGTTGTTCTGAGAACGTTTCAAAGCCTACACGCTAAATGGCAATGCTCAGAGAAGCTGGCAGAAGTTTAATTTTTATCGGCTCCTCTTAGGTGGCACCCTAAGTTTATCAAACAAGCAAAGCTGATAAAGTCTTCGTTAGTCTCAGTTGCATGAATCGGTTGCCAAGTAAACAGGATTTTGCATTTTCCTAATTACTTTCATATGTGTGTTTTACCTCTATTTGTTCTCTTGCAGAACTGGTTCTAATAATTAGCCAGACTCCTGCTGCCTAAATGTAAAAAAGGAGACTTCTGAGGGTTTCTCTTATAAATTCATTTCTGTTACAAGCATCTTTTATACATATTACTAAAGGGAGCGCACTAAGAAATGCAAATAATAGTTCTTTATTTTATTATGACAGTTAATTAATAGCAACCTGTTTTAATGAATAAAGTCACTCAAAGTCCTTCAGCACTTCCTAAGTAGAGGCCAGAATCTGTAGGGATTCTTTTCCCCCCAATTGTATAGCTCCTAGACTCCAAGCACTATATAGGCCTCTGTATAGAAATGCTCACTAATGAAGAGGGAGGGCTAGAAGCTTGTCTGCATTCAAAGATCACTGGTGAGTCATTCAGCAAGAAAAGGCCCCTTACTAGGAATAGTCACAGTTCCGTGGCATTGTACTAGCAAAAGGGTCTGATCAAAGGTCTCCTGTGGAGCTTGCATGGTTCCTTTTCAGACTACGACCATAATTAAAACCACTAATTCTCTTTTAAAATGCTGCAGGATGCCATGTAGGCATCTGTCTGGAGTGTCCTTTGTGATGTCATAAGCTGTTAAGGACCAGTGCCGAGGGCTTTTGAGTGAAATGCCAGTCATGAAGGTGCTTCAAGACAAGGGTGCCTCTAAAGGCTTGACAGGGCCTTGACTACACAATTCGAGCTGAATTTGCCCCTTGTCAGCTGCCAGTAAATAAATCTCAAAGGGGGAAAAGCTGAAGTTTCATTACCTGATCCGTGGGGCTTTGTTGGTTTTGGCATCACACAGGGGAAGCTCTTGCCCCTCCATTCTCTGGATTTGAAGATGTCCATTGGAGCCTGCAGAGTCTGGGTAGGGTTCAGAGCGGAACCTTTTGAAGAGTGTCAATAGTTGTAACAGTTCAGCTGTTAGGAAGACAAATAAATGGAGGAGCTCATTAATCCCTTTTTGGCTCTCGGTGCCTTTTGCCCTTTTATCACAGCCTTATTAGGCTCCTGCTCATCTTGAACCAGAAAAAATGAATTGAAGTTGTTGAGTCCTAATTGGCAAAGACTTTTAATCATGGGCCAAGAAATTTCACTGACTTGAAAGTAACTTCTCCACAGGGAGGAACCAAAAAATGCTTGGTTTACCTTAAAACAAAACCAGACCTGTTAGGGTTCAGTGCAGTGTAAAACGTTAAGCAAGTACTTGGTAAATGGGCGCGTCTGTGCTTACATGATGTACAGTCACTGCTTATAAAATAATCATGGCGCCAGAATCCTAACAGAGGGATATTCTGTTCTGAAATTGACTTGGATTTTGGGTGTCTGCATTACCATTAAATAGCCATGAATGCAATATAAGCATCTATCCACTCAAAACAGCGCACGTCCATGGCCAGGGAATTGTTTTATATGGTGGAAAAGTTGATATCAATCATTTGCAACCATTTATACAGGACATGAAGTGTAATGATACGGCATAGTTTCCATATGCCCAGTGATGATTTTGATCTTGGGATATTGCCCCGTATCTAACAACTGTGATATCTCATTAAACCAGTGGCTCTCCACCTTTCCAGACTACTGTATCCCTTTCAGGAGTCTGGTTTGTCTTGTGTAGCCCCAAGTTTCACCTGACTTAAAAACGACTTGCTTACAAAATCAGACATAAAAATGCAAAAGTGTCACAGCACACTATTACTGAAAAACTGCTGACTTTCTCATTTTTACCATATAATTATAAAATAAATCAATGGGAATACAAATATTGCACTTACATTTCAGTGTATAGTATACAGAGTAGTATAGACAAGTCAGTGTCTGTACGAAATTTTAGTTTGTACTGACTTCGCTAGTTCTTTTTATGTAGCCTGTTGTAAAACTAGGCAAATATCTAGAGGAGTTGGTGCACCCCCGGTAGATCTCTGCATACCCCTCTGCATACCCCACTGCACTAAACAAATAAAAAGGGTTAGAATCAACCAATCCATAACTGTAGGCACTTAGGTGTTTTACTGTAAACTAATATTTTGTTTAAACAGAGATTGTGTTAAATACAGAATTAATTTAGGTGTGTTTTCCTCCCTCCACAAGTCAAACAGAAAATAACTGTTTCCGTGTTTCAGATACTTTTATATTTATACTAAAAATGTCTCATGGTCCAGCACAGCCTGAAAAACATCAGGGTCATGCATTATGGCACAAAACCCTTTCTCTGGTTTTCACGACTTAACTTGTGTGTTTTGGAAATTTACCAGACTAGGCTTCAGCCTTAAGGATGGTATTTACAAGCTTAGATCTGAACAAAAAAGTCCTGATGAGTTGCTGGCTTGCTTTAAGACATCTGGTTAACTGCAGCACCCACTAAGAGATGCCGGGGGAGGATTGTCCGTATTGCTCATCCTGACACTTGTCACAAATGCAAAACAGCTCTAAAGCCTGTACTCACAAATGAATGAGTCATGTTTCCAGGGAATTCTGGGAACATTTAAAGGACAAGATCTTGGCACATCATTACATGAGCAAACATGCAGCTAAAGCTTCTGCAGTGATCATGATATCAAATGAAGACATCATTGTCAGTACCCTCTAAAAGTCTGTTTAATTTGGATCTGCATGGCAAGTCTAATTCAAGCACCAATCATAGAGCGATGTTCCTACCTGGAGATAGTCCGAGGTGTATATAAGCTAAGAGTTTTCCACAAGAAATGTGTCTTTGCAATTCTGTAGTAAGATTTTTTATTTTTTAATTTCTAATCCCTTTATAATAAACCAGCGTATAATCTTGGGGCAAGATTTATTGATGTAAAAGAATTACTGAATGGTGACTGTTTGCAAGTTTCAGACTCCACCCCGTGAATGCAGATCTGGAGAGTTTACTACTCTCAAAGCTCCATATTCATGGCAAGTCAGTGGCGTTACAGACTTTTAAAGTTGGCATCCAGTCTGACTGGTGTCCGTATATGTCATAAATAATTTAAAACGAAATTAGTGTGAATTGCAAGACCTAATTTTCTGCAATCAGCCATTTGGTTAAAGTTGAGTTACTAAGATTCAAAGAGAATGAAAAACAATACACAAATCCAAACAACCTTCTCACAGTATGGTCTGTCTTTATAAAGCCTATGAATGCTCTTAAATATGCCACAAGATACTTAGGGGTGAAGCACGAGAACGCTGCAGATCAAATATATGAACGACCTACTAAACTTTGAGAACCTTGAAAACAAACAAATAAATAAATAAAAGTGAAGCAACCCTCTCCCCCCCACACACACCTGTAACCTTGTTTGATACATTTCGTATTTTTTGTATGTTTTTTTTTTAACTTTGGACTTTGATTCAGGAGCTCATGCGGCACATCCCTTAATGTAAAAGCGCTTTACAATTGATGTCTGAGGAAAAGGTAGCCCCTTTACTGTTCATAGCTACTCCCGAAAGGATGTCTTAGTATGTCTTGACTTTTTTGTTACATGCAAAAACTTGACATTTCAGTTAAAACTTGTTAAAAAATGAGAGAGACCGAAGATGAAGAGAAGGATCTGCTTCAGTTTACATCAGCT